CAGATCCTCTGGTGTTGACCAACCAGGTGGCCTTTGGTAAGTGTGTATCCCGATGCTTGAAAGTTCCCGTACCCATTGCTCTCAGTGTAGTTTTTAACAGCCCATTGTACCGTTTGATTTTCCCAGAGGCTGGTGCATGGTAGGGGATGTGATATACCCACTCAATGCCATGCTCTTTGGCCCAAATATCTATCAGGTTATTCCGGAAATGTGTCCCATTGTCTGACTCAATTCTCTCTGGGGTGCCGTGTCGCCACAAAATCTGTTTCTCAAGGCCCAGGATGGTGTTCCGGGCAGTGGCATGGGGCACAGCGTATGTTTCCAGCCACCCGGTGGTTGCTTCCACCATGGTAAGCACATGGCGCTTGCCTTGGTGGGTTGGTGGCAGCGTGATATAGTCAATCTGCCAGGCCTCCCCATATTTATACTTCAACCATCGTCCTCCATACCAAAGAGGCTTTAACCGCTTGGCTTGTTTAATTGCAGCGCATGTTTCACACTCATGAATAACCTGGGCAATAGTGTCCATTGTTAAGTCCACCCCTCGATCACGGGCCCATCTATATGTTGCATCTCTGCCCTGATGGCCTGAAGTGTCATGGGCCCAACGGGCCAAAAATAATTCACCTTTATGTTGCCAATCTAAGTCCATCTGAGCCACTTCAATCTTAGCCGCTTTATCCACTTGTTGGTTGTTCTGGTGTTCCTCAGTGGCCCGACTCTTGGGTACATGGGCATCTACATGACGTACCTTCACCACCAGGTTCTGCACCCTGGCAGCAATATCTTTCCACAGTGCAGCAGCCCAGATGGGTTTACCTCTGCGTTGCCAGTTGCTCTGCTTCCATTGCTTCAACCACCCCCACAGGGCATTTGCCACCATCCATGAGTCAGTATAGAGATAAAGTACTGGCCACTTTTCTCGTTCAGCAATGTCCAGGGCCAGCTGGATGGCTTTCACCTCGGCAAACTGACTCGATTCACCCTCTCCGTCAGCAGTTTCTGCAACTTGTCGTCCAGGACTCCATACAGCTGCCTTCCATCTCCGATGCTTTCCCACAATACGGCAAGAGCCATCAGTAAACAAGGCATACTGCTTTTCACTTTCTGACAGTTTATTATATGGTGGGGCCTCTTCAGCGCGCACCGCCTCCTCCTTTGGTGACATTCCGAAATCTTTGCCCTCTGGCCAGTCCATGATGACTTCTAGAATGCCTGGACGACTGGGATTTCCTATTCGAGTTCGTTGTGTAATTAGTGCAGCCCATTTACTCCATGTAGCATTGGTTGCATGATGTGTAGAGGAGACCCTGCCTTTGAACATCCAGCCCAGCACGGGCAGCCGGGGTGCCAGGAGGAGCTGTGCTTCAGTGCCAATCACTTCCGAAGCAGCTCGAACCCCTTCATAGGCTGCCAGTATCTCTTTCTCAGTTGGGCTATAGCTGGCCTCAGATCCTTTATATCCCCGACTCCAAAAGCCGAGGGGTCGACCTCGAGTCTCCCCTGGAGCTTTCTGCCAGAGGCTCCAGGTAGGACCGTTCTCCCCAGCTGCAGTGTACAGCACATTTTTTACATCTGGTCCGGTCCAGACTGGTCCAAGGGCTACTGCATGAACTATCTCGCGTTTAATTTGCTCAAAGGCTTGTTGCTGCTCAGGGCCCCATTTAAAATCATTCTTCTTCCGGGTCACATGATAGAGAGGGCTTACAATCGAACTGTAATTTGGGATGTGCATTCTCCAGAACCCCACTGCACCCAAGAAAGCTTGCGTTTCTTTCTTATTAGTTGGTGGAGACATTGCTGTTATCTTGTTGATCACATCTGTGGGGATCTGTCTACGTCCATCTTGCCATTTTATTCCCAAAAATTGAATCTCCTGTGCAGGTCCCTTGACCTTACTCCGTTTTATGGCAAAACCGGCTTTCAGCAGGATTTGGATTATTTTTCTCCCTTTCTCAAAGACTTCTTCCGCTGTATCGCCCCACACAATAATGTCATCAATGTATTGCAGGTGTTCTGGAGCTTGCCCCTGTTCCAGTGCAGTCTGGATCAGTCCGTGGCAAATGGTAGGGCTGTGTTTCCACCCCTGGGGCAGTCGGTTCCAAGTGAACTGGACACCCCTCCAAGTAAAAGCAAACTGTGGCCTGCACTCTGCTGCCAAAGGAATTGAGAAAAATGCATTGGCAATATCAATCGTGGCATACCACTTGGCTGCCTTTGACTCTAGTTCATACTGAAGTTCTAGCATGTCCGGTACGGCAGCACTCAATGGTGGTGTGACTTCATTCAGGCCACAATAGTCTACTGTTAGTCTCCATTCTCCATTAGACTTTCGCACTGGCCATATGGGGCTATTAAAGGGTGAGCGGGTCCTGCTGATCACCCCCTACTCTCCAGTCTACGGATCAGCTGATGGATGGGAATCAGGGAGTCTTGGTTGGTGAAGTTTGAGCAGCTGCTGTACTTGCCACTGGGGTAGCTGTGCTGTTCATTGCAGCCAAAGTTTGAGTAGCGACTGTCGCTTTGCCCTCAGATCCGCCGACATTCTTTTCCTTTTGAAGGTGCTGGATAGTGTTGAACAAGGCCCTGTAAGCATAGGCCAAGCCCCAGCACGTTGCCATGATTTGTCCATCTCTGGTATGGCCAGAATGACCACACACCTCATTTAAGTGTTTTACTAATTCTTCTGGATTTTGCGGTTGTTCGGTAGTGAAATTCCAAAGTACTGGAGGGGCTCACTGACCTAGATACTTGCCCATACTATCCCACACACCCTGCCACTCATGGCTGTCCAGCCTCAGGGAAAATCTCTCGGTCCTCCTACATTGTCGTTTGACCCCAGACAAGACCCAAACCTGACTCTGCTTAACTCTTGAAATCAGTAGTGGGCAAAACACACTCTGTATGCGTGTTAGCATGGTGATTCCCATCATCATCAGCAAACAAGTCTCAACAGCATTAAAAGGCCATTCAAAAAATTCAAAACTCTCAAATGTAAATGGTCTGGGGGGACGACTGGGAGGGTAAAAGGATGTCTCCTTCACAGGTTGAGCACCTGAGAAGGAGAAAAAAGATGTGTAATTGCTAAGCACCTCCATCATATACCTCCCAAAGTATAAAGGTGGTGACCACACTGGGAACATAAGCCAGATCAGTTTCATGATCAATGATTCTATTGTATTACAAGTCATTACCATAAAGTACAATGGGACAAAAACCTTAGCCCAAGCCCCACACTTGAAAAACACTAATACAGCAAATACCGGATGGGAGTAAGATACGATATACTGAAACTGTGAGATCAAGGGGAACAACCTTGAGAGCCAATAAATCAGCATTGTGACGAGTGACTATCAATCCAGTCAGATCTGTTCTTATCTCAACCCCTTGTGCCCCACGTTGGGCGCCAAAAATAACTGTCGTGGTTTAAACCCAGTCAGGTAACTTGTTCACTCACTCCCAGTGAGTGGTGCCGAGCTGACAACAATTGAGGTCCGTGTCCCCCCCCCACCGGGGCTCTCCCCTTCCCCACTCCCGGAGGAACGGGGAGGAGGATTGAAAAAAGTGCAACTCCTACGGGTTGAGACAAGAACAGTCCAGCAACCAATGTACAACACAAATCACCACCGCTACTATCAACTACAACAATAACAAGGGAAGAGAATACAATACCACCGGCCAAGAAAACGAGTTCCACCCAGAAGCCCGTGTCCTTCCGGGTAACTCCCAGTCACCCCCCACCCCGGGCATGACATGCTGTGGTATGGAATACCTCCCTGGCTAGCCCGGGTCAGGCGCCCCGTCTCTGCTTCCTCCCGGCTTCCCCTCCTCCCTGGCAGAGCATGAGCCTCACAAAGTCCTTGGTCATGGTAAACACCACTTAGCAACAACTGAAAACATCGACTTCACCAACACTGTTCCCGGGCTGGAAGTCAAAACACAGCACTGCACCAGCTACCACAAAGGAAAAAAAAAACATGACTGCTACTGCTGAACCCAGGACACCCCGTTACCCCAGTCTCGCACCGAACTCGCCGGAGGGGAGGGCGGAAAGGAAAGATACAGGTTCAGGCACCCAACGCAGTGCTTGCACCTTTAAGACAGGGAGTAGGAATGGAAGGACCGATACACGTTAAAGTACCCTTTTCCCACGGAATGGATGGGAGACACAACTGACATGGACCAGATTTCCACAAGGATTTAAAAATAGTCTGACTCTTTTTGGGAATCAGTTGGCCAAAGAACTGGAGATATGGACCACTCAAGGAAAAATACAGGTACCAAGGTCACAATATCTCTTATTGCAATATGTAGATGACATTTTTATCGCAACAGAACAAGAATCATTATGTATAACAGTGACTATTGAAATCCTGAACCAGCTAGGTCTGAACGGTTATAAGGTCTCAAAAAAGAAGGCCCAAATTGCATGCACACCTGTGTTGTACTTGTGATGTGAAATGTCGCAAGGACAGCAAAAACTGGGTATAAACCGCATAGAAGCAATCTGTGCCATTCTCAGATCTACACGAGCTGAGAACATTTTTGGGCATGGCAGGGTGGTGCAGACTGTGGATAATGGACTATGGACTCATTGCTAAACCCCTGTATGAAGCCCAGAAAGTACCTGCTTTTGTCTGGGATAAACCACAGAAAAAGGCCTTTAAGAAATTGAAGGAGGCATTAATGAAATCTCCGGCATTGGGACTCCTGGACTTGACAAAGGACTTTCAGTTATTTGTCCATGAGAGACAGAGATTAGCACTGGGAGTATTAACCTAGAAACTGGGAAGCTGGAAGAGACCAGTGGGATATTTTTCGAAACAGCTAGACCCAGTAAGTGCGGGATGGCCTTCATGTTTAAGAGCAGTAGCAGCAACTGTCGTTCTAATACAGGAGGCCAGAAAACTGACTTTGGGAAAACATATTGACGTGTTTGTACCACACATGGTAACAACTGTCTTAGAACAAAAAGGGGGGCATTGGTTATCCCCAGCAGAATGATGAAATATCAAGCAATATTAACAGAAAAAGATGATGTGAGTTTGAAAACTACAAACTTGTTGAATCCAGCAGCTTTTCTAGGAACTGATCTAGAAGAAGGAACCCTTGAACATAACTGTATAGAGGTTATCGAACATACATATGCAACCAGGACAGACTTGAAAGACGTACCTTTTGAGCAACCAGACTGGGAACTTTTCACAGATGGAAGCAGTTTTGTGGAGAATGGGACACGGTATGCAGGATATGCTGTGACAACGCCACAGGAGGTAACTGAAGCAAAAGCATTGCCTCCTGGAACATCAGCTCAACGGGCGGAACTGATTGCTCCCATAAGAGCATTAGAACTGAGTGATGACAAAAGGGTAAATGTATGGACTGATTCAAAATATGCATTTGGTGTGGTACATATACATGGAGCATTATGGAAGGAACCGGGACTGTTGTCTTCACAGGGAACTAATATAAAATATCAGAAAGAGATTTTGGAATTAATAATTGCAGTGCAAAAACGTAAACAGGTGGCTGTTATGCATTGCAAAGCACACCAAGGAGGAATTCCAAAGATATCTGAAGGAAATACATTGGCAGATCAAACAGCCCGACAAATAGCCTGGAAGGTATGGAATATGATGGCCTTGACACCTCTTAAGGTAAGCCCACTCCATACATATCTTTCAGAAAACCCAAAATACTCGAAAGAAGATGAAAAGTTGGCAGGACTTTTAAAGGCTCAAAGAATTCTGAAGGGTGGTATACGACAACAACTGGGCAAGTAACAGTACCCCCAGCAATAATGCGAAAAATTCTGCAAACTGAACATCAGAAATGCCATTGAGGTGCAGAAGCACTGGTAACTTATTTAAGACAAGGAATAATTTCCACACAGATGATAACTATGGCAAAATCAGTAGGATCAAAATGTGAAATTTGCTTGAAAAATAACCCAGTGGTAAAAAGACAAGTGGAAATGGGAAGGATCAGGATAGGGGCAGAACCAGGAGATTATTGGCAGGTTGACTTTGTGGAATTACCAAAGGTACAAGGGTACAGATATGTGTTGGTAGGGGTTGACACCTTTTCTGGATGGCCGGAAGCCCTTCCCTGCTGCACCAATAAGGCAAAGGAGAGAGTAAAATGGTTACGCAAAGAAATTGTTCCACGGTTTGGAGTTCCTTTAGGAATATCATCAAACAGAGGTCCACACTTTGTTGCAACAATAGTACAGGAATAAGTAAATTGTTGGGAATATCATGGAATTTACATACCCCTTGGAGACCCCAGTCTAGTGGGCAAGTAGAAAGGATGAACCAAATGATAAAAAGACAGATTATTAAAACATGTCAGGAGGCCAAAACAAGATGGCCACAAGCACTACCTATCGGGAAACAGAAACTTAGAATAAAGGATGAAAATACTTGCTGAGATGAAGTATTTTCAAAGGGGGGAAATGTTAGTAATGGGTAAAATTATATGTTAAATAATCATATGAAATAAAGGAGATAATTATATTTGAAAAAATCTGTTAATCAGTGGAAGGGTTTTTATATATTAGAAAAGTTAAGAACTAGTTGAAATTTTGGCATTGTGTATCTTAGTTACTCGATAACTAAACATTACAATGGTAGCCACAGTAATAAAAACTAACATAGCCATATATGGAAAAGGGTATATGAGTAGATTTAGGAGAGTATTGTAAAACTCTACCGAAGCAGAACTCATGAACATACCAGGAGTAGTCAAGTGAAAATAAGAGAATGCTGGCGTCCACATAATGGTTGGGACATGTCCAAGGAACAGAAAGGTGAACAGGACAAGCTGAGGAAGACTCCTTACTTCATCAGGACGACCACCAGAGGGGGCTGCGCAAGCGCAGGAGAGGCTGATGTCCTAATAGACTGATGTGGCAATCCTCGATGCATATGTATTAGTTAATGATGTAATCTACATTGAATATGTATTAGTTGCAAAATTCTTAGTGTATAAATTGCAAACGCGATGTGACGAGGTTGGAACCAGATTTGGGTGTATACCCCTGATTCCCGGCACTTTAATAAAGCACCTCATATAACCATCCCGGTGGTTATGTGTGTATCTCCACGCTAACAGTATCATCCTTGAAATATCTTAGTTTGTTTCCAAATTTCCTCCAGATCTGTTTCAGGAACAGCAACTTTCATTGATTCTTGTTCCACTTGGGTTATATCAATAGTTTTAGTTTCTATTTCCTCTATGGTTGGTGAGATATTTTATGATTGCCTTCTCTAATTTACTTACTCCCAAAGATGGAATTAGCCATCTCACAAAACCATGAAATTAGCAAAACTTCTAACCCAGGTTCTGAGATGGGGTATCACAGCACCCAAGGCGTATGTCCCCTTCCAGTTGGGGGTAGGGTCTTATAAGCATTTTCTCCACATAAGCAGTGCCATCCTTTCCCTTCAGGAACAGGCCACCACTGAACCCCAATACTATCTATATTAATAGTGTGATTGCAATTTGAATAGTGACTTACACCTGTGGCATTTAAACAAACCTCATACTCTGGTTCCTGATGTAATACATCTTCGTACACAGGTATAAAATTCTTTACTTCGATTAGAATTAACTAATCCAAATCTTAAATTTGTGCATGAGATAGTGTTGGAAATTGGAACGCCAATTAATGGAAGGTCCTGATCTTCTCCTGATTTAGGCAACTGTGCACACACCCAACAGTCACTACAATTAACAACTTTAGTAATATTCTGTTGACGCGGGAGTCACGGAAAACGCAGAGACGATCAATGTGATCAAGTGATTGCCAAATTTATTACAAAGCCTTAACTCCTTATATACTGTTTCTTACATGAACTTACAGTGATTTGGCATATTATGGTTGGATACGTGTCTTGAAGACCCTTAGTGACTAATATATAATTGGTTAAGCACAGGTGTGAGAACTTGACCTCAAAAGCTTGCCAACAGTCCACAGTTCTCATTAACTCAGTGAATTCCAGCTTCTTATCTTGCTTGCTTAAGCTTCTTTGGGCCTCTCATGGCCTTGCTGTATCTTTCAGGATTATTCAGAGTTTATGTACCAATTATGCATTCTCCTGTGAGAACACTGTCTCCACATCTCCCCCTTTTTGTTTTATATACATTTTGGGTGACCCTACTTGAGCAGGGGATTTGGGCTATATTATATCTCCAACATATGCCAACTACAGGCTGCTGGTCCTGCCCCTTTTTTTCTGCTGTATGGCTCTCTGATAACAGGGGAGGCCATCCTTCACATCAAGGTCCAGCTTTTACCTTAGCATTTTTTTAGCAGCTACTGCATATTTCTATACTTTAACATCTCTTTTACAAGTGACAAATCTATACAATACAAGGTGTAGTTCCTCATTAGCAACTGGCTAGTAAATACAGGTGGTTTTATACACAAAATCACAGCCTCTAACAATAGCTATATTCATATAGCACACATATTCAGGATGTTACTTTTCAGTTGCCCCCAAGTGATGTATCTCATTGTGCTTGGGGTATTCACGGTCAGCTCCTGTAGCTGAGGCATCAGGTTTTTCCATTTGTCTGTCCAGCTCATGGCAAGGCTTGACAAACTCTGCAGGTAGACGCCATGGACCTGTAGGCAGGAGGACACAAATATAGCCCCTCCTCCAGGTCATCAGTTCTTGAGAAGCAGACAGGTTAAACTGCACATTGTTAACAGTCATGGAGTTTGCTGCGTCATTGCCTCGTTTTTTGGTTTTGTTTTGTTTTTTTTCTGCCACCCTGATGCTGCTTAGGTGACGGCTCATAAAGCTTGTGGTTGCACTACCCTTCTTGCTTTTTCAGTTAGCAGTTCTTATTTCAACTGATCTATCTGTTCCCCCAAGTCTTGGATTCACTCCCAGGTTACCTTAAACATACTAAGCAAGGCTCCTACCATGCACCCACTGTGTTGCGGGTGCTCCTTAGGCTTTGTCTGTGGTGTCTCTCCAAACTGCCTTAATACCTCAATAGATTGGGAGGCTGGGTTTTGTTTTTGTTTTGTTTTGTTGTGGTTTGGGGGGGGGGGGTGGGGGGTTTTTTTTTCCTTCACTCCCCGGCTCTGGCGTCCATCCTGGCCGTTCCGCCGGTGCAGCACCGGGAGCTGAATCGGAGGTCAGGTTTTTTTGTCTTTTTTTTTTTTTTGTTGTTGGTTTGTTTTTTTTTTTTCCAAAAGTTGCTCACCCTGCTTTGCACAGCTACAAATGCCGGCCTGCTCGGCAGCAGCTATAAAAGCGTGCCTGCTCGGAAGCAGCTACAGCTGCCTGCCTGCTTCAGCAGCACCCATAAATACCTGCCGGCAGCCGCACTTTTGCATTAACCCCTTCTTGCCCAAAATGTTAAACTGCTACCGGTTAAAAACTTTTACATGAACCCAACAACAAAAAGTACACAGAACACCGTCTGCCCTCAGCACGCACACACACACGTATGGGATCCCACAAGCACACTCCACACAAGTACAATATTTGAAGCACAAAATCCAGACAATCATTACTCCCACTACAGTCCCACGTACAGAACATGGCACAAGGACCCTGTGGAGACTAACAGCAAACCAGCTCCGAGAAGCATCACTGCAGTGCGAGGTGGCAGGCTCAACCTTAGCGGGTGTCCCCGCAGAGGCTCTGCCTCCCCCACATCATATGAGGCTTGGGCTTTTATACTGACCAAAATGCACACTCATTCCGACACAGGTGGCCAGCCTATGTTGGAAGAATTTTCCAGCAATATCTACAAAGGTCTCCAAAGGTCGATAGAAACCTGGACATACTTATATTTGCCAACTTCTAGTACCTGAGTATCACAGAGAAACCGTATTAAATGAGTTGTATATGGGAACCCAAATCCACGGTCTGTCACAGTATGCCCAATACCCCTGATAAGAGCATAAGAGAGACCTTCCCACCACCAGAAAATCACACAATACGTCTGTATCCTGTCTGTATCCCGTGCTGATTTCACTTCCCTGGAGGTTTGGGGGAGGGGGGCGTGGGGGTGGGGGGTGGGGTTTTTTGGGTTTTGTTTTCATTCAATCACTGACAAGGGGGGTGTCCTGGAGCGGTGCTGACTCTTTCCAGGGTTTCACCCATCGAGCTGGCACCCACCGCAAACCAGAATCTGTAATTTACACACATACAACCTCAACCAGTTTTACTTCTGCAGGACCTTTCCAAATGCCGGTTTCCAAATCCTTGTACTGGACCAGAATACCCAGAGTTTTAGTCATATAACCTGAACCTAATGCCTGACCATGTATTATAGCAGGAGGATCATTAAAGTCTCCTGTCAGTCGCAAAAAAAATCATATCATACACAGCTTGAGTATAAGAGGATTTTAACCCATACGTGGTCACTGCTTGTCAGGCCTCCTTAACTATTTTGAGATCAAAAGCTTCCCACTATTTAGCCCCCTGCTGTGTAGTAAACACAGGATATTCAGAGAGGCCCATTGCAGAAAATTCACCTGTAATAATCGCATCTTTGATTAACCCATGCCAACAGTGCGCAGGATTTGTGCCCCCCCGATACCTCTCCCACCCCCTCCCCCTGTTTGCCTTCTTTAAGGAAGGGGTTTTACGGAGGATAAGGTGGAGGCGCCGATGGAGATGTGTCAATCCGAGTCTCAAGGGCTTCAAGCTTTTTCATCAATTGTTGCAGCTGAGCGTCTCCAGGGCCAGTGAGTAGTTGCTGATGAGCTGAGCAGACTGACCCGGGAGATGAAGAGTGCGAGTCTGGAAGCAGAGGATATAAATCTGGCTCGGATTCAGGGGACCTGGGGTCTGATCCTGGGTGAAACTCAGGGTCTCCGTTGTGCACAGCTATGTCTTTCTTGTCAGGTGTCTCGTTCGGTATGTGGCCATCTGCGGACCTGGCTCTT